ATCACATGTTTGATATGTTCGTATGTACCGTCACATGTTTGATATGTTCTTATGTGCCGTCACATGTTCGATACGTTCTCACGTGCCGTCACATGTTTTGATATGTTCTTATGTATCTTCACATGTTTAATATGTTCTTATGTGTCTCACATGTTTGATATGTTCAATTGTATCGGCCATGTTTCATATGTTCGTATGTGCCGTCACATGTTTGATATGTTCTTATGTGCCGTCACATGTTCGATACGTTCTCACGTGCCGTCACATGTTTGATATGTTCTTATGTATCGTCACATGTTTAATATGTTCTTATGTGTCTCACATGTTTGATATGTTCAAATGTATCGGCCATGTTTCATATGTTCTTATGTGCCGTCACATGTTTGATATGTTCAATTGTATCGTCACATGTTTGATATGTTCAATTGTATCGTCACATGTTTGATATGTTTTTATGTGTCGTCACATGTTTAGTATGTTTTTATGTATTTCACATGTTTGATATGTTCAATTGTATCGTCACATGTTTGATATGTTCTTATGTGCCGTCACATGTTTGATATTTTCTAATGTATCGTCACATGTCTGATATGTTCTTATATATCGTCAGATGTTTGATATGTTCTAGTGTATCGTCATTTTAACCGCTTCAAGCGCAAACATTATTTATTGTGACATGACATCAATGTGTTGATATTGCATCATTTCAATATGCATCATAATGTATTTTCTAAAAGGTCGAGACGATAGGCGATGCATACATGGTTGTCAGCGGCCTACCAACTCCCAATGGTTCGAGACACGCAGCAGAAATATGCAATATGGCGCTTGATTTACTTACTTCAGTAACATCTTTCAAAATACGTCATCGGCCAGAAAAACAACTCCAGCTACGTATTGGAATACATTCAGGTACACGAAGCTTGGGATTATATAACTGCATCATTAGACATCTTTAAACTAAAGTGGAAAGCTGCTTTTCAGTTATAAATCGACGAATGATATTGTAATTGATTGGTCTATTAGAATCTAGGTACAGGAACCTTGATAGTAATTCAATTTTATCTGTGCAATAAATTGTTTCATTTTCAATTGTTTTTATTGGGAGGAAACACAAAACATGTCATACGTTATCTATTAGTACACTCTTAATCGCATTAATAATTCATCTGTAGTTTTAAATAAATTGATTTATTGTATAAACCTTATCACTGTACGTTGAACTAGGCATTGACTTCTAAGCGCTATAATAATATTATTGTGAATTAATTAGGTTCTTGTGTTGCCGGTGTAGTGGGATTGAAAATGCCGAGATACTGTTTGTTTGGCGATACTGTGAATTATGCGTCGAGGATGGAATCTAGTGGATTAGGTGGGAAGCAATTTTCTATTACTTTGACCATACTTAGATGAACTGTTATGTATGCTAGGGAGGGGGTATTACTAAGACAAACACGCGGGAATTAAAGACCCGTCTCTAGGGTGGGTTGGTACTAAAGTGTGCCAAGTTTTAAAAACAATTACCTGGTAGTGAACTTACATACACATATACAATGTTTCTTTTGACCTTTTGTCTTTGAAATTTGACACGTCATGTGGTTTCCCTGTGCTCCAAGTTTCTAGCTACTCCCCATTGTAGCTCAACACATTCATTGATCAATAATGTAAACTTGACTTTTGACCTTTTAATCCAAAAATGCGCCCAGGTATTGTGTGTAACATGTTTGCCAAGTCTGAACGCCCTGGCTACTATCCCCCTACAGTTATATACATAGACATAATGAAGAAGGGTGACATATGAAACATCTGTGCCAAGTTTGTATCTATTTATACATGCATACCGCACAGAACGCCCTAACTCTGCCCTAGCTTCGCGCTGGCGCAGAAAATTTCAATGGCTACTTAGGCCAGACTTTTTTTATTCCTTGTTTCTCGAGATTTTATAAGGCAATTTTTCTGAGGAGGGTGGCAACAACAAAAATTAATTCTTTTTTCCATTAGATTTGTGTGGTTCTCAAAGAAGTGAGATCATTGATCGGACAGAAGATATGAAATAATTGTATTCCATGTATAACCTTGTTTCTCATCTGAGCGAGACTTCGGTACTTTGATCATGATACTCCCACGAAAATGCAACTTGGGTTTGTTATGCGGCGGGCGGAAACAAAATTAAGATAAAAATTAGTTTTTTTAAAGCAGTTTGTTGCACTTACAAGTCGGCGGGCGCGAGAAATTGCGCTAAAAAAATATAATTTTTATTTCATTTTCGGCTCCTGTTCATTCGTCGGGTTCGCGAAACAAGGGATAATAAAAGTCTGGCCTTACTGCCATTTTCTATAAATAATTCAAGTGTTGGGTAGGTTACTATGACATATATATGCATTTGGCAGGATACTGGAGTATGTTGACACGTATTACTTGAACTTTTCAAATAAACATTTGTACCGGCCTATTACGTTTTATATCATATATTGACTTTATTCCCATAGCTCTACGAATACACGTGAGCCCAGAGTGTAAGACAATACTTGATGGAATTGGTGGATATCACATGACAGAACGAGGACCTGTCACGTTAAAGGTAATAATAATAATGACCATGTTACATCTGATATTAATCTGAGTTCAATGAAATCATTATAGCTTGAAATAAGTAAAGATAAATTTTCAATATTCACGAGTATTTGTTCAAAAGTACACGTTGGCACGCCGCTTCGCAAGACAAATACGGGTATACGTCGATTATTACTCCACAGATGTTGGTGAAAATTTAAACACTAAAATAACACAGAATATTCAAAACCACTATCCACAAATGTATTAATCTCACACGACTATGATTGATATTTAGAGTCTATTTTTATTTATTTCAGGGCAAAGGAACAATAGTCACGTATTTTTTAGTTGGAAGGGACAATCACGCGAACAAACTACCAGAACTTATATTGGCAGCCACGGTAGACGAACACATATTCAAATAGCAATATTCAACGTCACAAAAAAAAACCTGCCGATTCTTGCCACAAATACGGGAGTATATGATATAGACTTATGAATATATCTGTTGTCACACTGTACATAATGTTGATAAGTAACTACGTTTGCATAATCAAAATTTCGATTTACTTTTTCAAAGGTAATCTCATATATTACAATTGTACGATTTTAAGAATCAGATTCTCGTGCAAATCTATCTGTGATCACATGACCTTTTGTGGTCGCATAAGCGAAAACACGCTTGGATTTGTGTAGAATGTTGATTGTTGTACATTTTTTAACAAAATGCAATTGTGTATTTAAACTTGTGCATTTAATATATATTTTGGGAATTACACAAATACAAACTGTGTTTCAAAAGAGGGTTGAATGCAGGTATTTTCAATTTGTCTGTTAGTTTACTCAAAAATACCATTTACATAGTTAAATATATCAGAAAAAATGACACTATTCTACAATCATTTAAATGTAAGTTACAAATCTTATTACAGGGTGTATATATAAGACATGTCTAGGCGACAACGTATGCACATTGTTGGATTGTGTCAATAACATTAAGACTGTTTTAAATTTAACAGATATATGTTACACAACACATACCATTCATACCATTGACATAACTCTTACTATATTTTTAAAATAAGAATGACCTTATTACCACAAGGTTGTTGTTTAAATGTGACACATAATATATTAATCTATTTGTCTAATAAATTTAAGAGTTTTTTAACATTGTCTTTTCATTAATGTAATGAGGAGGGTGGTACAAGTGGTGATTGTTTTCAACGGTGCCATGGACCAGGTAGACGGATCAACTTGAAGATGATGCTACTGGGTGGTGATAATGTAACTCTGAATGACATATTTTATTTTTAGATGGTTGCCGTTACTTCGTTGAGAGCCAAACGACTTCAAGTTTTACCCACCCCAATAGTGTTTCATTCTTCCGTTCCCAAGCCCAGTGTTGTGACGTTTGCATGTGTAACATTGAGCTCGATGACGTCAGAGAATGGAACATTATTTGGGGGCGCTCTCTACACTGACGACTCTCACTCTCATCGGAATCTTGGCGGCCATTTCCGAGTAATGTATATTTTTGTTGCAATCACAAAAACGTAGTTCGTAAGAGTATGTGGAGGTCAATGCTCTGTTATGATTACATCGCCCAATTAGTCAGTACATCAGCAAATATTACTTCGATGATTTTTCTCTGCGAACTCGTCATCTGTAAGACGGATAAAAACCTGTAAATTCAAACAATAATTAAGATATTAATAATCAATAGTTTTATCGTGAAAATAATAGTTTCTTCCACGACAGGTTTATTTTGAACTTACACGATCTAGACTGTATTCTGTGATTGTGTAATCCTGGATTGTGCCTTCTTCCTTCATCGTGTCTAAGAATGTCACCATGTCTTCTACAGATATACTTTCGGCATCTACACAAACTAACACGTTATTCGCCGATGTAGTCTGTATATTAAATATAAATTGGTTTATTAGTACACATCACATCTGTCAGAAGGCTACCATAACGTTCAGTGATCTGTGTATATCCTGTATAATACAAATTCCAATTTAAGAGTGGTGACGCGTATTTCCAAGATTGCGTACGCGATACTTAACTGAGTGGTTTTGTGAACAGTTGTCATTATTTTATTCAATCTTTACGTGCCATACACATCAAATATCCATCCCGAAATAGCGTGCCATAATTTCATTATGAATGGTGAACTTTTATAAAGACGTTATTATACAAACTAAACAAATATAGCCATTATATTTGTACATGTAGATATTGCGGCGGATGAAAACAGACAAATGCTCCTTGATACCAATCATATAATTGCACAAAAATTTAGGAAAATTATTAAATGTACCTCGTTGGTAATTCTGACTCTTCTTTCAAGACATTTCATTATGACGGGCAATCCTCCGTCACCAGGTACTAGGGTCACGTTGTACTCTTCATTGTGTGTGTATCGCAGTTGACGGATACTACCCCGATGGATTATCTCACCACTGCGCATGACAGCCAGTGTGTCAAACAGATACTCGCATTCCTCAATGCTATGTAGGGTTTAATCAAAATATGAATAATTGTATTTTGATCGGCACTACACTACACTTTGATCGGCACTACACTACACTACACTACACTACACTACACTACACTACACTACACTACACTACACTACACTACACAATAACGAGGTCAATCATTACTATGTTACTATGAATTCAATTGTGATTGCAAACCAAATACCGTTGAGGGCAGTATGGTACCACCTAGTTATAGAGTACATACCTATGGGATGTCATGACTATTGTGCAACATTCCATCTTCTTTTTTTTGATAAGGTTCCACACTAGTCTTTTGCTCGACGGATCCATACCATTGGTTGGTTCATCCTCATTAATTAAAACACAAATTGTTATCAGAAAAAGCTACCATATGAAACTATAATGTTCAATGTCGCAATGTAAGATGAAGGAACCATTGATATGAGAATATGGCCCTGGATAGAATACTAGATAGATGTGTCAAAGATTCATTAGTTCACAATTTATTTAATCACTTACTAAAAATACCAATCTTTTGACTCCAAGAAAGGAAAGCGCCACTGAAAGTTTTCTCTTGTTACCACCACTCAACGTCTTCACGGGTTTGTCAGAATCAGCTACCAGATTCAACCAGTTTAAATACCAGTTGATTTCCTGCGAAGATTGAAACTATTTATAAATAATGAATTTATTTGACAGTGACGAGAAGATAGAAGACTGAACACTAGTCTGAAAGAATCATAATAAATGCCATCGTACTCACTTGTGTCATCAGACTGTCAGGAATAAGCCTTAGTCTGGCATATATCGTCATGTGTTCCCTTGGAGACAATTCGTCATAGAGTGCATCAAATTGTGGACAATAACCAATCTTTTTATCAATAATACAAAATCGATCTGAAAAGCTGTTATAAATCAATTAGTTGTACAATATATGTGACACCAATTTTGAAAACTGTATTTAATCAACGCGTTGCAAAGTTAAAGCATCACAAATAATTAATAATTGGACTATCTGCCATTAGTCATACTTTGAGAAGACATGCATGCTTGCGGGGGTATTTAAACCCCAAATAAACAAAGGAAATGTTTTTGTTATTTTTCTATATTTTTTGTATATTCGAAACAGAAGAAGCAGCAATATAAAATTACAAGTGAACAATATAATTTCAATGAACCGACTAATTACAACATTATACGGCTATTTAAAATCATAATATTATGAGTTCCGGTGAAAAAGAGGAAACACCACGCAGTATTATGGAAATAATTTACCCACCTGTGACCGGCGATCCGTATGTTTCCTGACGTCATTTCCGTGAAACCTGTTAGCATACTGAGAACTGTGCTTTTCCCTGAACCATTGTGACCAATGAGTCCAAAACACTAATACAAAAAAAAAAAAAACAATCGTCTTAAGCCATACAATTTATTAGTTGTTTACAATGTAAGCCAATTTACACTAATAACAAAGACGCTTAATATTACTGACGTCATAATCTATGCATTGAATTAAATATGATATTATCTAATATGTTCTATGTGTAGGTCAATATCCAATCATCACACTAAAACACATTTCAATGATGCGTTGCAACGTATATTTTAATATGTGCTCGAAATAAAATAATACACTATATACATTACCTACCTCCCCTATGCCCGCTTTAAAAGAAACACCATGTACTACTTCTGTGGAACTTTTATGATAAATCTGTCAGTAACAATAAATAGTATGACTTGTGAACGGTTAATAACAGTTTAACGTGCACTGTAAATCGACTATGAGTTTTCTGTATCAGTATAACGTAAACACACATGCACTGCTAAGATAAGTGGTTACCTTCGATAGGTTTACTACTTGAAGATAATCACTCGGTAAATACACAGTCTGCTGATTCAACACCAAGAATTGTTCACTGTTGAAGTTTCTGCAATTAAAAAAAAAACAATTGACAAGCAAGCTTAAAACTACAACCCTGTAACCATGACTACTACAATTTATAAAAAAGATATTACAGCTATTTTGAAGCTCACCTTGTTGAATACAGATCGTAGATACAAAACGCTAGAAAGATTATGATGCTTTCCACAAGCATAATATTCATCATAGTATAGACTAGATTTACATCATATGGATATTTTGACATATCCACACTAGCTAAAATACAATGGAAATAACGATTAGACAGTCATACAACAATTCAATTAACTATTACACATATTTACAATGTTTATTTTATTATATACAATAACGAACAATTGTAAATTTCATACCCAATGAGAAGTTGGCAACCTCAGCACTATATGAATAACTAATGATTGCATAACCACGCATCATGCAGTAAGCAGGGAAAACCATCAGTAATTTATTCAGAGTTTTTACTTCGAACGGCTAAATTAAGAAAAGTGGACATATATAAATAATCAGCATTTAAATATACATATGTGTTCTTTTGTCACAAGGCGAGTCATTACAACTCATTGTGGCATTCATTGATTCATTCGTTTTCAAAATTGTATGAGTGTAATTTGTTGCCATGTGTCGAAATATGACTTCGTATTACACAATGAAGTGTCAGAATATTAGGAGTTTATTTACCATTGATTCAGGAAATGTCTCAGCCAAGTTTTCAAAAGTAGAAGCCATACAACCCAATAAAAAGTTGACTTGCATTAAATATAAATATGCAGAACCGGCGTTTTTAAACAATCCACCTAATATGTGCATATATGGCAGAGTTACAAATCTGAAATCAAACAACATATATAAATATATGTTTTGTTGAAATTCACACATGAATCCCGTTACTTGTCCAAACACACAACACGCATGCGCGCACCAATAACATTTATTATTGGGGTAACATCTAACATATGCTTCAATATACTTACCCATACAAGGCAAACAGTGAAGC